TGAACAGCCATCCACCAAGTGTTTCGATAACGATCTAGGTATGCCACATACTTGGATAGATCTATGAATTGGCCAATAAATTGATCCTCATGCATGTTTCCCTGTTGCAGGGCATAGAACTCCGCTTCCTTCTGTTGTCTCACCTCCATTGGAAAGAAGTAATCAAAGAATAAATCCTTGAATTGATTCCAAACCATCCTCCTATCATCCATGGGTCTCACACTATCCCACCATTGCTTTGCCCTTCCTTCTAACAGAACCTTGGCAACCTGCACCTTTTGCTGGGAACTACAATTCACCGTACTAAACAGGGTCTCCAATCGGTCTATCCAAGCCTCTGCTTCTACAGAATTCAGACTACCCTTAAAAGTTGGAGGGTTGAAGCGGCCTATATACTTCCAGACTGTTGTTATAGGAATGTCTGGTAACACCTCAGCAACCTCTTCTTCATTTACTGTTTCCTGCTCATTTGACTGTCCCCCATTATGTCCAATACTATCACCATCATGATGACCTTCCATCTCTGGAGAGATTTCAGCTTCCTTGTTCCTTCGGTTATCTTCCATTTTTCTAACCCGCTCGTCAAGGGAAAGAATTACAGCTTGTAATTGTCTTAAGATCTCATCATTAGTCTGATTAGCTTGACTATTGCCATTAGGTGGCTGGCGACTTCCCTCACCAGCATCAACAGTACGCCTGGTACTTACCATCTCTCCCCACCTAAGGGTAGAACCCCACAAAAAGAAAGGTAAACACTTAAGAAAGGAGAAAAGAGGAGAAATTGAAGGGAAGCATAAGTGTAATGATTGTATATTGCCATAGATACTATATGAAATGCACCAGGGATCACACAAAACCTTGAAACTGATACCAAGTTGAAAAGACCTCTTCTTAATATATAATTATAAAACCATTTTTAAAATGATAACCATGGTAGAAAAAGAATTGAGTTAGAGTGTTAAAATACTACCATGGTTATAAAGAGTTTGACTTATTTCGAAAACGTCCCAAGTAGCTCAGGATGCATAAAACACCCATGGGTTTAACAATGTAGAACAAAACCTCAAGGCACAGTAACCGCCCACAAGCCCAACATAATATTCATCCCACAAAGACTTAGGGCACAAGAAACACAGGGTGCTCAACCCAGCCCATAAGTCATACATCGCACACAGCAGAGTCTTATGGCCTGCAGCCATTTTAACAGTATTCCATCAAATACAGTCATCCAAACAAAAGAAAGTATATGTCAACACAGTGTGGGCCCTAAGATGGCAATATACATAACATTACATGCCTAAACCAAAGAGGACTACTAGGCTATGCTCGCCTATGCCTCTGGTTGCTTCCCTTCGCGCCGAGCCAAACTAGATGGCTCTCCTGAAAAGTATTGATGAATAGCGGGGTGAGACGTAAAGTCCCAGTAACCAAGTATTAATTTATGACATATACAAGTAGGATGGCAAGTTGGTGAAGTAGTGCTTAAATATAGTTTAAGAAATAAATGGTACTTTAATAGATATAATCACATAAAAAGAGTATATCTCTCCATCCACAACACAATTCATATAAAAGTACATATATGCAACAACACAATGAAATATGCCCTCCCATCACCTTGCTCCTCCTTATGACTCCTTGACAAGGACCCGGGCTTTCTGTGCTGAGTAACCCGGCCAAAGGTCACCCCACTCACATCAAGCAACGGGCCCCCTCCTGTACCTACACCGCCCAAGAATGGACTATGGTGCAAGAGGTGTCTACCCAAGAGTTCATTCTCAATTCCGGGCCAAGGAAAAGGAAGAACTACAGGGGTCTAACAATAAGGCCAAACACTGGGATCCGTAGTGTAGGCATGCCGCGCGGGCTTCAAGAACAATTATCCTCCACATAACAAAATCCCATCCTCCACATATGAACCCCATGCATAGTCACAATATAAATCAAAATATCACAATCTTCAAAGTAAGATGATATAATTTCAAACAAAGTATAACACATTTTCATTTCATTTAATAACATAATATTAGTATATTAAATTCAGTACTACACGAAAACACAATTTCCAATAAAACACAACTCAAACATAATTAGATCAACATACTTCCCACTTCACCAAAATTTGTCATATAATAAAATATATTTTATTCACAGGCATACTTTTACAAATTAACTAAGAAAATAAAAACATAATAAACACCTTACAATCCAAAGCGTGTATATAAAATAAATTAACCCCGGTTACCTCTACTCCAAGCTTAACCTCACAGCTTGAGAAATAAGAGCGCAAATTACAAACTCCGAAGTACAAGATAATCTACAAATAATATAGATACAATTTAATATACATACAAATAATTAACTTAAATTACATAGAATTTATTATTAATAATATTTATACATATATTTACTATCCAAAAATTCTTACTTCAAATAACAATTTTTCTCTACCCAAATAACTCATTTAAATTATAAATATTTATAAAATATGGTTTTTATCTAATATTGTAAGAATCTCAATTTATAACTTAAGTTTCCAGCTTCAAAATTTTTCTAATAATATAGTCTTAACCTATTTTACATTTTAAACCGATTAAAATATCAATAATACATTAAGTAACCCAAATAAGTTATTTAACTTAAATTTAATCGGTAAAAACATTCTATATATCTTGAATAATACATTTTTCAACTAAAATCTTAGTTTAAAATTCTCAAAACAATCAATAAACAAATATAAACCGATTAAAATTTTAATAATATATCGAACAACCCAAATAAATTATTTAACCTATTTTTAATCGGTATAAATATGATATATATCATGAATGACAGATTTTTCAACAAATAAATTTAATTTTAAATACCATAGATAATAAATAGACAAATCTAAACCGTTAAAATTAACTACTTATTTATCTCTAAATTTCTACAGTCATATATTGTCAAAAATCATTACTTACTTTGTACCCAGCTCACAAAATTTTCTCTAAACAGTGTAGTAATACTACTAATATAAAGCTCTAAATATATAGGAAATATTCATAAAGAAAAAATTTAATAGAAAGAAGTGTTTAATGTACCTATATGATCCCCAAATGCTAGCACGTCCTTGCAGAAATCTTCACTCACTCTCTTGTTCTTTGTTTTTCTTCCTACGTCTCTCACCTCTCTTTCTCTACTCTACACAACACTCACACTCTTCTATTTATCCTTTAACATGCCAACCAACCTTCGTCAATTTTCTTCCTTCATTTATTGTTCTTCCCCATTTTTCCTCCTCCCTCTTTAATTACCCGCGTGAAAAATTCTTCTTGGCCTTCAATTCACCCCATATTCTTCTCCCTCTTTAATAACCCCCAGCTTTTCCACCGAAAGTCGGTGGAAAGCTGGGTCAAATTTTTTTTTTTTTTATATTAATAAAATATTATTATTTAATAATAATAAAATAATATTTTACATTATTTAAATTTTTTTTTTTTTAAGGATGTTACAGGATACGCGGTAATGCATGACTTGGGTGCTGGGTCTGCCTTTTAGCCAACTGTTGTTGCAAATGGCTCGGTCTAAACGAACCATTAGGCAACTCTGTTTCCAAGTATATTTGGGCTCGACAAAGCCCAGATCTACAAGGCCCGCTTCTTGAACGAAATCTCTGAAGGCATTACACCCTGTTCTGGAAGGAGAAGCCCCTCCTTGTCTTTCATTGGCTTTTAAGGTTGCATTGAAGTCTCCAGCCAGTAGCCACGTATCTTGGGCATCTATGGGGAGTTTTAGTAGTTTCTTGCCACATATTCCCACGTAGAGATTGGTTGGGGCTCCCATAAACGGCAATGAAGAACTTATGCCCATTGCGTGAATTATCTTCTATCGCCATATGAATGAATTGTCTGTGATTAAGCAATATCGTGATGTTTACTTTGTCAGACCACAGGACCCATATTCCTCCAGAAAAACCAGAGGCTTCTACCCTGTGCGAGTTAGGATATCCAGTCTTCTTGATTACTTTGTTAGCTTTAACTCCCAATATTCTTGGTTCCATCAGGACAATAATGTTCGGTTTGTATTCTTGAAGCAAGGATTTGAGTACAACGTAGAGCTTCCTGGCTGCAGCCTCTTTGCAATTCCAGACAAGGAAAGCTTTATCCATAAGAAGGGTGGTTTTAGTGCTCCATATAGGAGCGGTTCGGCGGTATATCATCCTTAAGGCCGTTATCCATGGCCTCTTCTAACACTGGTTCATCCTCAGATTGGATCGTGCTCCCCAGGGCCTCTACCAAGGCTTTTGTGAGTTCCTCTGATGGAGATCCAATTTCCTTTTTAGGCTTGGGCTTCAGGTTTTGAATCTTGACTACGAATTGGATTTTGTATCCAGTTTTTGTTGGGCTCTTGACGAGTAGCTTCTGTTGGGAGTTCTCCTTGCCTTCTTTGTGCTTTACTTGGCTCGGCCCAGCAGTAGGCCCAATGTCTCCTTCGATTAGTTTGAGAGCTTGCCTTGCGTCACTAAGAGAAACAACTGAGTGCTTACTGGCATCCAGAGTTGTTGGGACGCGTGTCTCCTTGTAAGCGGGAGTATCGAAGATGGTGACGGCTAGGGATTTTGGTTTTTGAGTTGTCTTAGAGTTTGCCTTCTTTTCTGACTTCTTTCCGCTAATATCTATTGACTTGGTTGCCCAAACTTGCTTTTGGGTGTGCTTCGGCATAGCAGGAGGCACTACGGCTTCAGTGCTAGGAGTAGCAGGATTGGCAGTGCTATTTTCGTGAACCATAATTTCATCCGAGGTAGCGAGGGGTTCGAACCTGCTACCGCCACTTCTGTTAGAGCTGGTAGGATCATCACTAGCTTTCTTGTTAGGCCTGCTGCCCCGTCTTCCTCTGGGCTGTACCTTCATCCATGCTCCATATTATTGGGTTTCACGTGCATAGGACTCAGCTTCGGCGAATTGTGGCGTTGGTTGTGCTGGAGTTCCTTCTTGCTCTTCGATAGTCGATTCCTATGCCTATTGAGGTTTCTTTTTAGCAGCGCAAGAAGTTTCTAAGTGTCCGTACTTCCCACAACAATAACAGATGGTTGGCAGCCCCATGTATTCAACGAACTGCATAGTGCCATCTAGCTTGATCTTGGAGACGAGAGGTTTGGTGAGGTCGATTTTTACTACCAATCTAGTGAATCTTGCCTTATCCACCCCGGCTGTATTGTAATTAACCTTCAAGACGGTGCCAATGACTTCCCCAATGGCTCGGAGAATGCTCTTGTGATAGTAGTGATAAGGGAGGCCTAGCAACCGAACCCAACCATACACCTGCTTGATCTCTAGGTTTTGAGGGGAGATCGTCGGTTCCCATGGGTGTACCATGAGATAGTGACCTTGCACCACCCAGGGTCCTCCCAGTATCGCATGTTGATAGTCCCATTCCTTCTCAAACTTCACTATATAGCAACCGCCTTCGAGTTCTGTTAGCTTGAAGTTCCCGGTAGGTTGCCAAAAGGTGCATATTTTAGAGTGGAGGATATCTTGCCTTACATAGCGGCCTAGCACCTTAACAACAACAGCGAGTCTCATGCATTGGGTCATGAAAGATTTAATTCGTTCTGAGAAGGTGATCGGGGGATAAGTCCATCCATGTTGACCATGGCATCGTCTTGTTTGATAAACGGCTCTCCTGCTATGTTATCCTGTTTTCAGGTGTTCTCTCCGGAGTCCCCCATGAGCATATCTTTAAAGGAGGGTATGTTTTCCCTTGCTTCCGCATGCTCTTTGCTTCCTTTGTCTTTGTTCCTGCAAGGTGCAGACTGCTCAGTCGATCCTTCATCGGCGTCCTTGTCCATTTCGTCAACTTGATCATCAGGGAATAGTTGCTTCTGTACCTCATTCCAGTTATTATTATTAGAATCTATAATGAGGCTTTCCGTTGTATCCATGTCATTTGAAGTCTCACTTTTATCTCGTAGCTTCACTTTCTTGGTAGTCCTGTTTTCATCCTCTCGAGGCGTGCATTCAATCTTTCCAGCAAGTCCGATCTCTAAACTCCTCTCCATGGTGTCCTGCGTTTGCTATTCTGTCTCTCTAGTGCTTCGTGGTAGTTGCGTAACACTCTTTGTCCTCCGTTGCAGTGGGCAACAGAGGTTTCTTGCTTGCCGGATACCACCAAGAGGTGGTGGCCCAGCCGTGCACAGTTCTTAAGTGAGAGAATCTCTCTCTAACTCTCTCTCTCTGCTTTTTCCTTTTACTTGTGTCCGCTCCTCACTCCTTTTTTTGTTGTTTTGCCGGTGAAAAAATTGCACTCGTTAAAACGAAAACATAACACGGTCCAACAGTGAAAATAAAGAAAAGTAACAGCACAAACAAATAAGGCAATCACTAACAGAATTGGGTCTAATAGAAAGAGCTAGTCCCTCATAACATGATAAATCAAGATTCGAATCCCTTTTGAGAGAAGTGCCTACATTTAGTGCCCAATAATGTCTTAAATATGATTGCCTTCAATAGGAGGATACCCATACTTTAGCAAAAAAATTAAGGCAATCAACAATGAGAGATGAATCTATCCATTACAACTTAGAGAATCAATGTTGGAATCTCCACAGAAAGAGATCCTTATATTTAGTATCTGATGATGCTTTGAATATGATTATCTTCAATAAGAGAATATTTATATCTAAAGAGAGAGAAAAAGAAAAAAAAAAAGGCAATTATATGACCAAGACATCATCAATGTCCATGATAATTCATACCATTTATATACCCCTCTACGTTCTTAATATGAGAGTCCTTTAAATACATTGAGTAGAAGATGGTTTGTTTTTTAGTTGAAACATATACATATTTACGTTATTTTTAGTTGAAATTTCATTGCTAGATGTTATCTCTACTCCTAAATATAAATATAAGACATAGTTTGTAACATAATATTTAAAATCGGAGGCAGTATATCATTGTATACTGATTGTAATAGCAAATTTTAACACATCATGGATATATTTTTGAAAATATGGTAGAGATAATTTGAAAATAGGCGTTATCTTATCAAAAAAAGAAGAAAGAAAATAGAATTAAAGGAGTATATATATTTTTGGTCATGTATGATAACAAATTAACTTTCCTAATTTTGAGACAAACTAATGAGGTTCGAGATATTTTGTTTGGTTCCAGTGAACTTTTTATTGTACATGCCCCTCTGATCAGTATATGTTTTTACATTAATTGTAATAATAAATAGTTGCATGCATCACAAATTTTGTGATTTCTTCCCTCGCGAAATAAATGAAAGTTTTACTTTAGCTGGTGTCATAATTGATATGAAAGTTAAACTCAACAAAACATATTTGTGCAGCATTAAAATCTATTTATTACAATCAAAACATTACAATATATAATTTCAATTAATTAAAAATGGCGCATATATATAACTGTTTCAATTAAAAACAGAAACTATCTTTTATAATGAGCTTGTAATTAAATCGATATTCTTCAAAAAAGGATGAGAAATTAGTAAATAAAAAATGAAAAAAAAAATGCTTAGAATAAGATAGAGGGGGAATAGATTTGGACATTTGGTATGTCAAGAGGGAAAGAAGGGATTTTACTTATATGGTGAATGATTTTACTTTTTTATTAATAAAATAAATTTCGGACATGATAAGTTAATGTAATAAACTAATAAAGTCTGGCCAAAAAAAAACGTTAATGTAACAATGGAAAGATAAAATCATTTTAAGTGTAGTAAACACTCTCATACTCTATACGATAATTTATTTTACTGTTTATAGTATGGTAGAATAAAAGCAGTTACTGATAGAGGATGTTTAGATGACATGAGAAGTATTTTTAAAAAATATTTTTTTGATAAACTTGTCCATCTATTTATTTTCAGAGTGTAAAATATTGGTTTTATCTAAACACCTTGTTGATGGCGTTTATAGCGTTTTGGGGGTGTGATTCGCCTATTCGTTTTCTATGATTCTCTTCCACGCCTCTCCCGTCGTTTTGTAAACTTCATCTAGAATTCACTCCCGGTTTATATCGAAGTCTTTCATATCTGCTCATGTTCAAAAGCTCCAGCTGAGGAATCATGCTTACCAGCGATTTTCTGTAAAATTTGAAGAATTCGGTCATTTTTTTGTGATGGGTGCCGCATCTGCCAGATACCCATTCGGATTCACCGTTCACTCCAACCGGAAAGTGCACAGCTCAAGTTCCGAGTTTCCTCTTAATGTGGACGTTTCAAGAATTAGTCTGTGCCCAAGCTTTGTGTCCTTCACCGCTTCAAAGGTATTTTTAATTGTCATTTTTCTTTAGAGGGTTCTTAGGTTCCCATTCCTTCCCCAAACAAAACAGTTTGCACGTAAGCATTTACAGTTTTTTTACTTTATCTTATAATGCTATCATCATTCTAAAGGAAGACGCAACTATGAATTTCATCCAAGTCACATGCCTAACCTGCGAATGCATTGGAACAGAACATTCCACATTGTGCAGTCATATTCAATTTCATTTTTCTGTTGCTTTATTTTATTGAACTTTTTTCAAACTTCCTATTCCTTATATATAGAATCGATCAGACTTCGAAAGGGTTCGACCGAACGACGTTTTTCATTAAAAAAATTTAAATTCAAGAAGGGGGCTATATTATGATTAATTACATGAAGTTTGGTATATTTCTTCTGTCCGAAACCCAACAGATTGAAAACTTGAAAGCTGGTCAGTTTAATAAGGTTTTTGCTGGATTGTAAAAGCTTTAAAAGCGGTAAGATAACCTGGATAATTAATATGGTGTCAAACTGGCAATTAACTGGCTTGAGTACCTCAAGATGCAAGGCAGCGATGAAACTTTCTTGGCATTGCATGGACACACTATTATATACACATGGTTTCAAATGACGGACCAAGAGGAAAATTTATGAAGCCATAGGAGGTTTAATTCCACGATTTAATTTTGCAGAGGACTTGAAATTGAATATTTTATTAGATGTTCTCCTTAGTCCTGGGTTGATTGAAATTACAGAGCCTATTAGCAAACTTTTCTATCATTGTACGAAGGATTTTATGATATTTATTGGAAAATCCTTGTGTGAATTTACGAAGATCTACACCCTTTGGTTTTCCTGTTAGTCACAAAACTGCAAAAACTGCCTTCTTCAGTATTTTCTTGAGGGATAAATAGAAAGAAAATATTTATCAACAAATCTGAGGTATACTTGTTAGAATACATGGGCTGAAGTGCAGCATAATATGTGATATGGGCTTGTAAGGTGACTGTAACGAGAGACGCATAAGAAGTGTGACAAGCTTAAAATCTTAATTGTACAATGTCATTATCTCCTTAACAAATATTCGAGTAAAAACTTATGTTTCATTAATTATTTGAAAAGCGGGTTGTATCTTGTATGATCTTGATGCAGGGTTTTGTAGACCGTATATGTGCACGTCCTAATATTGATGATTTCAGCTGGGAGAAAGTGCCAACACCCATGCTTGATGCAATTGATAATCCTCTTTGTTTGAAGAACTTATCTCTTAAGGTCAGTTATAAGCTCAAAAGCATTTCTATCTTTTTTCCCCTCTTGGTGTTAATGTTACATCATTTTTACATGCAAGCTCACAGCATCTTATTTCCTATATCATAATTTGTAGGAACTCAAGCAACTGGCTGGTGAAATCCGTTTGGAATTGTCTTTGATGATGTCAGATGCACACATTTCATTTGAAGACAGTCTGGCAGTGGTGGAACTGACCATTGCAATACACCGTGTTTTTCATGCTCCAGTGGACAGGATCTTGTGGGATGTTGGACAACAAGTAAGATTTTATCATCAATGCTTGTGCCCTATTTTCTTTTCTTTTTCCTTTTTTTTTTTTAAAAGAAGGGATTCCTTCTCTCCTTTGGGGGAGTAAAGGAGAGGTACAGTTTAAAAGTTGATATGGTATACCTATTTGTTAACGATCTTATGACTGATATCCCTTTCTTGGATTTCATTCTCTAATGAATTGTTGAATGACCTTACTTGGATAATGTAGTCTAATCAATATGTTGTTAGCAGACATATATACATAAGATTCTTACTGGAAGGAGATCCCTCATGAAGACAGTGAGACAAAAGAATGGCCTTTCTGCATTTACATCCCGATCTGAGAGTGAATATGACGCATTTGGTGCAGGTCATGGATGCAACAGCATTTCTGCTGGACTTGGTAATTTATGGATCCAGTTTTACTGATTATTCTTGGCAAAATTTTTTTCATGTTATACACTATTATGAGCATATTCATTGGAGTGGTGGGAGATATTTTTTTCCTGCATTGAAAGGCCACATCAGGCTTTTTGTGTCATTAATTAATGAATTCCTATAATGTTTCTATTGAATCTTGAAGTCATATCTATGTATTTAATTTCAGGCATGGCAGTCGCACGAGATTTGAAGGGGAGGCGAGAACGTGTAGTTGCAGTTATCAGCAATTGGACAACTATGGCAGGTCAGGTCTATGAAGCCATGAGCAATGCAGGATATTTGGACTCAAATATGGTTGTGATTCTGAATGACTGCCGTCACTCTTTACATCCA